ATAATTTTAGATATAAAAAGGCAATATATATTAATTATAATATATTGTGTTTTAATTGATATACAATTTAGTATATTTATTGTAATATTTTTTCAATATAATTATTATTTTATAAAATATATCTTTTTTATATAATATATTAATTTAATATAAATCCATTTAGGTTACCTATTAAATATGGTTAAATATGTTTTTAGTCCCTAAATTTAAATATGAAATTAAAATTCGTTCATGTTTGAAACTTTGATACATTTCAGTTTCCAAACTTTAAAAATGAATTAATATATCTTTTTAACCTAACAACATTATCTTTCTTTACGTGTTAAATAGTGTTCTAGAATGACATCTGAGTTATTTATACCATTTGATACTTTGAGTTCTAATGTCAATCTAGAATACTAATTAATATGTAAAACAAAAAAAAAAGTTAATGTTGTTGGGTTAAAGAAGTATATTTATTCCTAATTATTATAATTTTTAGAATCTCACGATCCCCCAACCAAAAATTACTTACAATATCTTCTTATATTTTCTTATGATAAGACCTAAAAGAAATACTTAAAATTATAATTAAACAAACACACCAACACATTCATACTTTATCAGATAATGCACCATAATTATTATAAATATTAATACACACCACACTTGCACATAAAATAAAAAATAAAATAAATAAACATATATTATGCACACAACAAGAATCAAACACATGACCACCAATCTATAATAAAAAGTTTTAACAAACTATGATATCCTTTACTTCTATAATAATTTTCTTTTCTTATTTTAAATAATGATTCACATGACTACATTTTCTATATATAATTTTCTTGAGTTTTACACTGTGCATATAAGTCTTTTAGAAAAAAATATTATTGAAAGTTTACTAAGTAGACTCCTAGTAAGTAAAGTCACAAATGGATAAACTTGAAAACCTTTTCTTTATTGGACAACGTTTTTCTTAAAATTTTTTGCAAATTTTCCAATAGAAATTCTCGAAAATATTTCACATTCTTAACAATGACACCAACAATTTGCCAAAGAATATCATTTGTACTTCACCCTCTTTCACCTGAGTGTCTTATCTTACCTTATGTATAATTACCTTATGTATAATAAAGTCGATCAATTTATAAGTTATCATTGTGGGCTTCATTAAAGCTTTTTTCAAAAAGTTTGTTTAGGTACTACCAAGTTCATAACATCAGTTGAGAACAATGTTTCTTTGGTTCATGATTGAGAGGTCTTGTATTACAATAAATGAGAAAGCTTAATATGAAACAATTTGTTTCTTTTGACGTAGAGAATGGTTGTGATCTTATCCAACTACTGCATAGATTCTACTCTTCCAGTTTGTGAGAATAAGCAGGACTTGCGTTCTTGCTTTTGTTGTTTGGTCCAATCCAATGATGTTTATGATGAGAACCAGATACACAAATGAATTGATTAAAGTTGTGCGATATGAAGAAACCATATCTGGATTAGTGAATGTAGTATGAAGTTCACAGACAATAAATTTTCCACGTGTCCTCTTTGATCTCTTCGAAAAGTGTTTATTATCTCTTCCATAGTTGCAAGAAGCCAATTTGGGTGGGCCTTGCAACTCATGGTTTGTCTAAAAAGTGATGTTGTCGCATTTTTTTTCCATCCATTCAAAACTAATAACTTTCAAAATTTATTTTACTTAAGTTAAAAGTTATTTCTATTTTTGATAGACTTGAACTTAAAAATTATAAATTATATAATTACGAATATTACTTAATTTAATAAATGAATTTATAAAAATTATTATTTTTATTAATTTACTTAAAAAAAATAAAGTTATTAAAATTATGATGTGGATTGCGAGATGATTTGCAAATCCTGTTATCAAACGTTATGTTGGATGGATTAGAAAAATTAGTCCGCATCGTCATCCTATGGCAATCCACATCACCAAGCCTAATTCAATCGTTCTTACTTCTGATATTTGCACATTGGTTAATGATTTGAGTAAGTTGTTTCTATGCAAAATGGATTCTAAAAATTTGAATGTATGGTTGCAGGTACAGGTTGACCTATTCAATCCACAGGTATGTTGAGGAATATAGTTTATAATAATTATAGTTCGTTTGAAATAAGTTGACAATGAGGGTTTATGCATATTCGAGCTTAAATTTGTATTTAACTAGATATGTTTAATTACATATTAGAAAATGAATATTAAATATTACTAAACTATAAATTAGTATAATCAGAATATATATTTTTTTGTTATTTTCTAATTAAATAATTTTATCCTTATCTAAATAATTTCTTCTGTTGAAAGAAATAATCATTTACAACTTTACTAAAACCATTTTTATAAAATTATTATTTAAAGTGTTTTATTAGTGTGGATATTACAGTGACTTTCATCATCACGATCAGATTTTAAAATTTGGAGATTTCAAAATCCAAAAAATTACAAAATCAGATTTTGAAATAAAAAAGACACTGGATTTCAAAATACAAGAGATTACAAAATCATATTTTGAAATATGAGAGACTCCAAAATCAGATTTTAGTCCAAAACACTGTTTAATTACATTTTGAAATCCAACATTTACTTTAAATTATATTTCGAAATTTAATACATGCATGAAAAATGAGAAATAATTACAAAATCCAACAGAACTCAAAAAACAATTGTGTAAATGAAGATGAACCAAAAAAATATATATCTCTCTGTGTTCAACCAAAATGAACGATGATGAACTCCATTGAAGACGAAAGCGTTTGAAGAAGAAGAACACCATAAAGGAAGAAAAAGATCACTAAAAAAGAAAAATGTCATTGAGTCTGTTTGGTGAAAATGACTTGAAAGTGTTGGGAAAAGTAAATATAACATCGGAACAGTAAATATGAGTGAGAATGCTTACCTAATTAATTTAATAATTTATACATATATTTATAGAATTATTATACATCATAGTAAAATTTGGAGAGTAAAAAAAAACACTGTGGGGTGCATGAAAAAGCCCCCTTCTTGATTTGCTATATGGGAATGTAATATTTATGTACAACAGGCTTAAGAAAAGGAGAGGAGCCCATTAAGTTTCAGTACTTTTTTTTTTAAAATATTTTGTGTAAGGTTGGGAAAATTCAATTGTACCCATTAAATATATTTGTTTTCATAGAGAAAGCAAAAACTTCATTTTAATACAAGAACCTAGGTTCGCATTGTTTCATCAAATAATGTATTTCGTGAATGATGATCATATTTTTAAAAAAATTATTGAAACTGCCACCTATATAAAACATAGAATATATACGTTCACTCAAATATTAAAAAGATCAACACGCTAATATAACAGTTTTGCATAACCCAGAACAAACGAAAAACAAAGGATAAAGTTGAAAAGCATCACTGTAACTTAAAAAGAGAAAACAAAATACACCAACTATTGATAATAACCAAATTTAAATATTAAGTTCATCACTGCTGACATCGCCGCTTGTAAGAACAACACCACCATCTTCACTTAAAATACCTACGATATAATAATGAAAGAATTTTATAAGAATAACTAAATTAATAGGAAATGCTTCATTATCATATAAGTTAGCAACTTAAAAATTTTAATACACCATAAAAAATCTTAAATTGATATTTTTTCTTTCCATTATTCTTATATATTTTCACTTTTCCCACAATTGTTTTTCATCGACCCAATTTTCATAAATAAAAAATAAGATTGATCTAAAATAAAGCAAATTGATATACTCACTCCCTCTACTTTAACCACTTAAAAGATAATAGAATTTGAAAAAAAAAAAACCCTTAAAAGTTAAGATACCGCTACGACATATATGAGCTGAGAAAACTAATATATGGTTTTCATTCTAAACTCAATTCACTAATATATGTTTTCAAATAAGTTAGATACAAATATTACTGTAATTTAAAAATATATAAAGAATAAATAATAATTAAAAAATAAATGAAGAACTAAAGTATATTTTAGTAATGGTAAAGAACACACAATTTAAAGATAAATTAAAATAAAATTTGTATAAAAAAAGAAAAGATCTACTCACCAGTATTGTTATGTAACTTATTTGACCTTAACTGAAGCGATTAATGTTTGTCACCACCATATTATGAATTCGATCTTTCAAGTCATAAACAAACTTAATGGAAGCATGTCTCAATTTTCTGTTTAACAAAATAGTACAACAAACTCCCAAAAAGCCTGTCACAAATCCAGATTCCATTCCGATGTAAAACCATGTCAAAAATTTAAATTGATTTCCACCTTCATGCACAACCTCTCTGTCTTTATGTTTATCATTCGGAAAGCACGTTTTGGTAAGTGGAGGTCCACAAAGATCATGATTGCCCATGTAACTAAGTGTAGAGAATCCTTGAAGTTGTGTGCCTGATGGTATTTTGCCTGTCAAATCATTGAATGACAGGTTCATGTAACTCAAAAAGGACAATCTGGATAAGCTCTGAGGAATTTCTCCCCCAAGTTGGTTTGTTGAAAAATCGAGGGACTCCAAGTTTTTCATATTTCCTATCTCATCTGGTATTTCTCCTGCTAATTTGTTGTTGGATAAATTCAAGGAATGCAATCCAACGAGACTAAACATTTGTGGAGGTATTGTTCCGGACAAATTGTTACTTGACATATCAATTAAGGTCATAAAGTGTAGGTTTTTTTCATATTCTAATACTTGACCTTTAGTAACCAATTCTAGACTGTCGTCAGAGAAGAAGTAACGGTGAGGAGATGGTGAAGGAAATTCAAAAGAAAGCTTGTTATGTGAAACATTGTTGAAAAGTAGGGTTTTAATATTACTAAGACAACTGGGTATATTACCGGATATTGTGTTTTGTGCAATATCCAACACAATGAGGGAAGACATTTCGCATATTTGTGGTGAGATTTTACCAGTAAAATGATTGGACCGTAATTGGAGAGCCAATACACCATGAGATATCCAAAGTGGTATATTTCCTGATAATTGGTTATTGCGAACATTAAAGACCAATAGAGAGCGACAATTTTGCAATGAGAGAGGAATCTGACCATGTAGTTTATTCTCATGCAAATGGAGTGAGTTGAGATTAGATAAGAAGCCTAGTGATGAAGGTATCTTTCCTGATAGATTATTGCTTCCCAAGTGAATAGCAACCAAAGATTTCCAGTTCTTCCAACAATTCGTTAGTCCTCCAGATAGATTATTCGATGATATGTCCAAATACAACAAATTGTTTTTCCCATTCGACACATTATGACCACATAAGAGGCGAGACAATTCTCCTGATAATGAATTATTTGATAACACGACAGAAACCACGTTTGGTGATAATTGAGGCAAGCAACCTTTCAAACCATTAGATGATAGATCAATGACTATTCAACAACACATTTGATATGTCCCCGTCTATCAATTTGCCATGTACTTGGACTTCAGCTATTGTTGATACAAAATTCCAAAATTTGTCTGAAGCCTCAAATGATGATCCAACTATAGCTAAAGTTTCAACAGATCGTTGTGTATACAACCATGCAGGAAGGTCGGGATTTGAAAACCCAAATACTAATTCCTGAAGTTGAAAAGGTGGAATCCAATCCGAGTCAAAATCAAAGATTAACGTGGAATATGAGCATATATATAATCTTTTTAATTTTGACAATTTGGCTAAATTTCTCTCACACACAACTCCTGTCAATGGATTTGAGGCAACATCTAACACAATCAAGGTTGATAGATTTCCCAAATTTGTAGGAATAGATCCAGAAAACATGTTTTCTTCAAGATCAAGAGTTTTTAAATGTTTGAATTCACCAAACCAATCTGGAATGGGTCCATCAAAGTTATTGGTTGGCATAACCAGGTCTTCCAGTTCTCGAAGATTTAACAAATCCTTAGGTAGATGTCCTACTAAAGAATTTGAGCTAAAGTGTAAAGAATAGATAGTGGAACTAAGATTGAATAGCCACTTAGGTAACTCTGACTTGAATTCATTGTATGAAAGATAAAGATCTTGGAGGGCAGTAAAATTAGCATACTGGAGAGACAAACTCAAGTCTGTAAGCTGACAATTACCCAAACTAAGGAATGAAAGTGATGGAAGCATAGTCACTAATGAAAGCCAATTAGTTTCTTTGCTAAGATCATTATCATCGAGGATAAGATATTCCAGTGAGGAAATGTAGGGAAGCCATTTAAGGTTATTGATAACAAGATTCCGATTTAATGATAAATCAAGATAACGAAGAGTTGAAGAGTTGACACACTGACGAGAAGTAGGTATAGATAGATTTTGACAATTATGATTATGCTGATAATCAAATTGTAACGCTAAGAAGTCATTGTTTGTGAAATCAAGGTAATCTAAAAATTTCAACTCCACTAACAACAAGGAGAGGTGAATGGAACCTGTAAGACAATGTAATTTACCTTCTTCGTCCCTGTAACTTGTAATAAGAGTTGTAGAACATGGGAGAGAGATTCCAGTGACTCTACTAGTGATGTTGCTACATATTACTCCTTTCCAATTACAACAATCTATTTTAGTGGTCCATGATGAAAGGACATCTGTTGGATCTGTTACTCCTTGCTTGAAGTTTAAGAGAGCATGCATGTCTTGTTGGTTGCAACGAATATTGAAGCTGCAAAAGACAGTGTTGAACATGATTCCGCATAGCAACGATATAAAAATAATTGCATTTTGAGAGGGAGATGTATTCATGATTGCAAGAGAAATGAAGGGGTGGATGACTTCAACCTAATGGAGAGAAACTCTATTTATAATATAGTTATTTGCATTGCAACGACTTGACTAGAGAAACCGATGTTAACACTGCTTAACCAAATGTGACCCCTATCCTACGGAATCCATTTAGGAAGGACGTATTCAAATCAAAGATTAATTATGCATCGATCGTGTTCACTCCTTACTTAAAATATTACTAAATATTTTAATATTAATAATTTCATTTAGGTATATATATTTTCAAACTAAAAATATTTAATTTATAGAAACGCGTGCAGCGATTTGAAATGAAACGGAAATTTTGGATGTTCTTGAGAGATAAGTTTTAAACTTTTTTTTATTATTTTTTTTTCGTGGTTAAAAAACATCATAAGTTGTAATTTTTGTAATTTCCTAATTTTCACTAATAACATCTACACAGAGGGTTAATAAATAATTTTTAAAATTAAAAAGATAAGGAATTAAAAATGAAGTAACCATTAAAATATATTTAACTATAAATATATTTTTATGTAACTTAAGTTTTAATAATTGGGACTAGCATTACTATATTCTTATGCAAATACCACGTTATTGCAATGAGTATCCCTTCACCTATATATTATTTGTTTCGTGCGGTGCCTGTACCGTCTCTCACACATCCAGGTCGACCGTGTAGTTTATAGCTTTTGTATTGTACGGTCTTTCGCACAACTAGGTCAATTGTTTAGTGTGGACCAAATGATTCTCCTAAAGTCGACTCTTCTTAATTGAACGGTTCTTCCAAGTTCGACTCTTCCAAAAGTTGATATACCGTATGGTCTTCTCGACTCCATGAACCGAACAGTTCTATCCAGGCCGACCACCCATGCTGGCAGACCACATGGTTTGGTTACAAACGATAATAGCTCATTAAAGCTCCTAATGAAGATTAAGGTGTGATTGGGTTGTCATTAGGCAGACGACAGGTAAAAGCTCATTACAACCCATATAAATATGAGTCTCAGGTATGATTTCGAGACAGACTGCACACGCTGCACATTATGCACTACTTGCATCACTTATTATAATCGTTCGGTCATTTTACTGACTTGAGCGTCGGAGCACCTTTAACAGGTACGCCCCCATCTGGCTTGGGGAAGGAGGGAAAGCGAGTTACGTCTGACCAGGCCTCAACTCCTGTCCCCTACAAGAACCGTCCGCCCACTTCAACGTTCGTCCAACTCCCAACGGTCGCCCGCTTGGAACAAAGCCCGCCCGATCTTCATCCTGAAGCGCTTTGAACAGTGTTTGTCCGTCCGGTCTTCATCCTGAAGCGCTTTAAACAGTGTTTGTCCGTTCGGTCTTTAACATCCACCCAGTCTTCAATATAATTAGACCGAAACCTGTTGCCGGCCTAATGACGGCCCAATCACGCCTTAATCTTCATTAAGGGCTTTAATGAGCTATTATTGTTTGTAACCTAACCATGTGGTTGCCCGGAATGGTCGGTCGGTCGACATGGGTGGTCGACCTGGATAGAACCGTTCAGTTCACAGGATCGGGAGGACCATACGGTATATCAACCTTTGGGGAGTCAGACTTGAGAAAGTCGTTCGGTCAGGGAGAGTTGACTTTAGAAGAATCGTTTAGTCTGCACTGGACGATCGACCTGGATGTGTAAGAGACCGTACGGTACAGAGACCGTATGGTACACCAGCAACCCTAACTGTCGGCCTGGTGCGAGAGACCGTACAGTACACGGACCGTACGGTACAACATATAAATGTTATAATCAAAAAATAGTTCATTAAAATTATTTTATTTTAAAATATTAATACAACAAAGAACTAGTTCTATGAAAGCATAATCAAACATAAAAAAGGTGATGATAATAGGTAAAAGAAAAATATTATAGATGAAAAAAGGGTTAAAAATAGAATATTTAATGTAAGAGAACTAAAATAGAAAAATAAAGTTAAAGATAGCCAATTACTTTTTCCTCGATATTTATAGGTAACATAAATTTTGAATTATTTTGTCTTACACTACTAAAATATATTATCCATATATTTTGTAACTATTTTTTTACACTTTGAAATAGATTATTCACACTCTTAGGAAATAATATTATTTTTTGCAGAGTTTTACTTTCCTTTTCATCTGATTTTAAAAAGTATAATGATATCATTTTTCTTTTCTAGTATTTTTTTTTATTATATATGTTGGATTTAATTGCTGTGATAAGAGATAATATCATAAATTTTTCGTTCACAAATTTCCGTCCGTTGAATTAATTAATTGTATGTCCGGATGAATGGAAACAAAAATAAAGAAAATGAAATTAGTTTAATTATGTGGTAAAAAGAAGAGGGAAATATTTTTGAGAAAGGGAGGTTTGTGGAGGATGTAAACATAACAAAATAATAGTCAGATTCGTGCACATCACGTTGGAAAAAAGAGAAGGAACAAACTCCAATTTAGATATACTTTTTTTTTTCGAAAGGAAAGTTTGTGGAGGACGTAAATAAATATATTGAAATTATAGTCATCCGATTCACATTTCAAATGAAGAAAAAATGGTCGTTAAGCATATTTTTAAGGCTTAACTAATTTTTTTTATCTCTCTCTGCGAATTTTAGATATATGATATTTAATAAAAGAATTATACTGTTAAAAACGGACAAATCTTTTACACTCTCTCATTATTAAATGATCTTAATTTGCTTAAAGATTTTATTTATGTCTAAGAAAACATATTTGATTATTTGTTTTTTAAGACTTTACTTGTACGGTTAGGTTGTGTTGTGTTTCGTTTTGAAAAAGTCAACATATCATATACTACAACTATAAAAATCGAAGCAAATTACGACTATATAGAAAAAGTCATCATATCATCCCAAATGCTTGGATAGTCATTCCCTACAATGCCACTGTGAACATAACTCTGTAACAACCATCCCTTCATTGATGTACTCAGAAACAGCTCTGCCTATTTGTTGGAATAAAACAAATATTGGGACCCATTCCACTATAAAATACTGGAGCCATTGTTCCCCATCAACAAAATAATGCACAAAATGTCTTCCACTTTGCTTGCTTTTCCGTAAATTCAGCTCACCACCTCAACAACCATTTTGTTTGTTTTTGGTTTTCTCACTTCTTAAATTTGAGAAGCAAAGCAGCGTGCAAAACAGAGAAGGGAAGTGAAGCCACATTCCAGTGAAGAAGAAGAATACCCACCGTGAAGAAGAAAAGCCACGGAGAAGTAAGAAAATAGAGATGGTTGTGTGAGAGATTTATACACAGAGACTCTGTTATTGTGAGTGTGAGTGAAAAGTGAGGGAGTTTTGTATACCATCCGAGAGGGTGAGATTTACACAGAGAGATCTTCAGAGAGTGAGAGAAACACTCTAATCCTACTTTCATAGTGGAGATATTTTTTTGGACTAGGTCCCGTGGTTTTTTCCGAGAAGATTTTCCACGTTAAAATTTCCGGTGTTATTTTCTCTTTTCCTCCGCTTTCATTTTTACGCTTCCGCACAGTGCCCATTTTGGGGTTCACAGAGGAGGGAACAAATATCGTTGTTTCCCAACAGTGGTATCAGAGCTACCGGTTCGAAAAAGTCAGAATCCTGTGAAACTCAAGATGGAAGGAGACATGTTCAAGCTAACTGCAGATAATTATTCCTACTGGAAGCCGATGATGGAAGATCATCTATACTGCAAGGATTTGTATGAGCCGATCACAAATCCGGAAATTCCGGAAGGGAAGACCGAAAAAGACTGGGAGATTCTGAATCGTAAAACAGTGGCTATGATTCGGAAATACATCGACAAAAGCTTGTTTGACCATGTATCGACTTATACCGATGCGTATGAGTTGTGGACAAAGCTTGAATCAATGATTCAAAAGAAGACTCCTAGAAACAAAGCTCACCTAGTCAGACGACTCGTAAAGTTGGAGTACT